TCCATGTTAGCAGGGTATTAATCAAACAATTTCTTTTTATTGTTCTTTGAAATAAAATTTGATCAGTTTAAATGCATCTAAACATAAAAATAATGTTCAGCTCCATTAGACATAATAAAATACTCTTTAAATTTCGTTGATTTTAACAAAAAGTTAAAATTCGGACAGAACTTATGGGATGACCTGATATACGTTTTCGCTTGTGTTTGCATGTGTAACAGCGTCGAAGAGACGAGCGATCTTAACATTGGTCAAGTTGGAGTACATCGTTCCTTATATAAGGGTTTTTGAGAGTTAGAATGAAGCGTTCTGATTTGACAATAAATCTGTAAAAGGCGTTTTCTTTCAAACAATAGCAACTTATACAGATATTGTTGGTTGAATCCTTTGAGGTCCGAATGAGAAGCTTTTATTTCGAAAGAAACTTGTTCTTGTTGGCTCTTGAACACAGTCACTCCTCACTTAACTACTTGCATGTTTAACGATTCAAACCGGACTTACGAGCAAAAACCCGAAAAATAAAATATATATATATATCCAACCAATTTTTATTATAAGCTGTAAAAAAAAACTTTAATTGTAATTGTTTTCTTTTTCTTCAAAGTGGATATATGTGAGGTAGCGTGCGTTCAATTGCTCTGCATTTCTAATCTATCCTATTCTTCTGTTTGTTTTCTGATGTTTTCGAAGGATTTTTTTTTTTTCGTGGACTGCTCTTCTCCGATTGGTTCTTTCTGCAGCTTCCGTCTTTTAATTGATCGGATCGATTTCCTACCTCAGCAAGTTGTTTTTGAGCTGATCCTTGAATCGACGACGTGGGGATACACCTGGTCTCTTGCCAGATCCAAGCATCGAGAAGAGGATTTTGGGTGGTAGGCAGACGTCTGGGATTCGGGCAAGGTGTCCGTCCGTCTATTTGTTATTTTTTGTTTACTTTCGTTTTGTTTACAATTTTTCGTTATTATTTATCTTTCAAAATTATCAATTTTTAACCTCTATGAACACTTTGCCTGATCTTTCTAAACATTTTGGCAAGGAACCACCATGTTATATAACGTGCCTTTCCTCCGTATTCCATCTTTTAAAGGTAACACTAATGGCCATGCCTCAATCCTCATAAATCTTAATCTGTTCAAGTTGGATTAACCATCTTCCCTAAATTAATCCGTAATGATCGCCGTCGTTAAAAGGTCCAGTTACTTTTGTTTTGTTTACTTTCTATTGACAATTGTCAGTTTTTCCTACTTTCAAACATTTTTTTGCTGTTATATAACGTGCCTATTGTATTTTCCTTGGATCTTATAAATGATTACCATTTCATTTTTACAACCTCTGTTTTTTGTTTCTTATTCCATTTCATTTTACAACCTCTAATTCCCCTTCCTAGGTTACAACACTATCTACCTATGCCAGTCTGTTTATAACCCCATCTATCTATCTATCTATCTATCTATCTATCTATCTATCTATCTATCTATCTATCTATCTATCTATCTATCTATATAAGCACTAATGGGTATGCCTCAATCCTCATAAACACGTTGGACACCATTGGAAGTCGAGGTAATCTGCTGTCTACGTAGTCCATCACTAGCAGTCGTTTACCTACCAGTATTGTATTTTGTTAATGTTTTAAATATTACCATTCTATTTTGATTATTTCTCATTCATTCACCCTTCCTAAATACAACAGATAGATAGATAGATAGATAGATAGATAGATAGATAGATAGATAGATAGATAGATAGATATGAACAAACTGATATAGATAAATAGATAGATAGAAACAGAACGTGATAGATGTGCACAGACTCAGATAGTGTTATATAGCGTACCTATGAAAACTAATGGGTATGTCCCAATCCTCATAAATACGTTGGACACTATTGTAAGTGGCGGTAATGTGCTGTCTATGTAGTCCACAGCTATCAGTGGTTTACCTACTTCACGTCGCTGGCGAGTTTTGTATTTTGTTGATGTTTTAAAGATTACCATTTCATTTTTCAACCTCCGCTTTGGTTATTTCTCATTCAGTAACCTTTTCTAAGTTAAAACACAACCATAATTTAAAAATAAAATGGTTTCAAATATTTGATGATGATTTTACTTTTTTCTTATTTTATCGATTCGTTTCTATTATCGATTATTTAAAAAGAAATTATAATCTTATATATAAAGTAGTGTATGTGTGATTGTGCGTGTGTGTATGTCCAAGCAACTCCTCCGCTCTCACTGGTCCGATTCCAATGGTTCATAGCTCATTCAAAAGTCCTAGAAAAAGTTAAGTGCAGGGAACGATTTTCGTTGAACTCAGATTCAGTGTTGCCACATTATGCGAGGTTAAAAATATATATTAATATATTATACTAGCCATTATCGTTGCTTTCATGGTTCAAGAGAAGTAAATCTTATTTTCCTTTTGTATCCAAAATTGCAGTGCATGTTTCATTATAAACTAGCTTAAAAGCCACCCTATCTGGCGGTATTTAAGCTAGATCCTGTGAAGTAATCTTGGTTTGGCCATCATCACAATAGCTAGGGAGCATTAGATGCTATAGGCCTGCAATAAACTACAGAAGAACTCAAAATTGATCGCTGCATTTAAGTATTGAATTAATGTTTAAGCTTATCTTTTAAAAGTTCAACGATAATTCTTCTTCTGCCATTTAATTTAAAGACGATCTGATGTGCGTAGGTCCTTATTTTCCGTACAAACAATTATTTTTATTTCATGGGTGACAGAACAGGGGAGAATTTATAAAATAAAATTAATACCGTGTCAAGATGGGAAAATAGAAATTGTTATACAATCAAGATTTGAAGAGTTAGAGAAACATAATAGCTAATTAAGTAAAACCTACATTATTGAATCTATATGAATAAATGTGAAATTGGAGCACAATGATCCAACGAATTCTGTGGCTAAAAAGCCCAAGCGGTATTTTATAACAGTTTATACGATAAAAGCCCAATATCTGTATTATATATTATCTACTTCTAGGTGATATCACTCTTCAGGTTTAACAAATTTGCATATTGATTTTTAAAAAAGTATATTTCATTAATTAACTATCCTTAATTAGTGGTCTTTTATTCAAGGATAGTTTTGATTTTCATATCAAAAATAGTTGTGTTTAAGAATATTGTCTTATATAATGCAGAAAAGTGTTTGAAATTTGCATTTTACTTGGCCTTCAACAAGTTGGCATCTATTTGTAAAACTTTCCTTAAGTACAATAAGCCAATTTATGAATGAAATGTTCATTTAGAATTTTTGTCTCAAATATTTCAAGTCGTGAAGATATCTTATTTTGCGAAGATGTTATTTTGGAACATTTGACGATGAACTGTTTATTCAGACATTCGATGTAAACTATATATGTGTGTGTTTACGTGTTTATTTATATATGTTTCTATATGTGCATATGGCGTTGTGGTTTGTATTTCGCCTCAAAGCAAAATCCAGAGCAAGAGTAACCCTGCTTGCTTTCAAGTCAACAACCCTCAAGAGAAGAACCATTCTAAAGTAACCCTTCACCTATTACAGTAGTCTGCCTCACGGTGTAATAACACCGGAAATAGGAGTCGTGTTGGAGGTTAAATCCGTGACATAAAATTAATTTGTAATTCTGTCAGTCATCATTTAAACAGAAATTATGATAATAGTACGAATAAGTGGTCTATTTGACAACGAAGTCTTTACCTTGATGTCCAGTGTAATAGATAGATAGATAGATAGATAGATAGAAAGTACAGTCAATGATGAAATTATTCGTACAACCATCAATTCTGAATATTTTTATCCATTTCTCATAATCTAATGCCCGTATGATGCTATTTTTTATATGTTAATCAACGCAAAAAAGGAATACGAAACTCAATTTTCAGAACAATAAGTTAATTACAACAAATCTGAGAGGCGAATTATGCAAAATAGGAAAAGACAAATTTATTCGTACAGTATGAAGAATAGAAAAAAAAATTCATAATATTAATAGTCAATAACATGGCCTCACATCTTTATAACTTGCTGCAAACGCTTTGTAAAGATTTTGATAAGATTTGAACAAGTTTTTCTGGGATTTTTTTTCATTCTTCAATGGTTACACGTTCTAATTCCTGAAGGTTTTTGGTAACCGACGAATTTTTTGAACTTTCAATTCTTGCCATAGATTTTCAATAGGATTCAAGTAAGGACTCATTGAAGGGCATGAACAGTAAGCTTCTTTTTTTTCTGAAGCCAGTAACTGATTTAGACGTATGTTTGGGATCATTATCTTGCTGGAAGCTAAATCGTCGACATAGATGAAGATCTTGCCCTGATAATTGTAGATTTTCATTCAGAATTTTGATATAGTCTACAGATTTCATTATTCATATTGTTGCAATTAATTGTCCAGTCTCCCGTGAACTAAAACAACCTTAAAACATAATCGAGCAGCCGCCATGTTTTAATGTTGACACTGTGTTCTTTGGGAGGAAAGCCTCAACTTTCTTGCGCCAAATCTTCTGTGCATCATTATGTCCAAAAAACTCAATTTTTGTTTCATTACTCCATAGTATTTGTTCCCAAAAGCAATTTTCTTTGTCCAAGAACATTTTGGCAAAATTAAGCCTAGCAACAATGTGACATGGTTTGTGAAGAGGGGTTTGTCGTGGTCAGTTTCCATACAACCCATTTCTATTTAAACAACGTTGTATTTTGCGAGTACTTACGATGATAACCAGCGTATACAAACTTTTGGCGACATCTTTCAAAACAACACTTGTGTTTATATTAACCTCGCAACAAAGTTTTTGTGCACTTCTAGGTGAGAATTTGGGTTTTCTTTTACGCTAAAGCAAATTTCCTGTCGTGCCAAACTGTTTAAAGTTCTTTATATTGGACTGTACGTAGATCTAGCAATAGTTAACCGGTTTGAAAGTTAATAATTCTCTGTCTCTAATCAACGCTAAGCTCCTTTGTGTTCCCCATCGTGTTGTTAACGTAAGAATAACAATGGTGACACTCCATGCACCACGTGATGTTCTTTGCCGTAATTATCACTAATATTCTACTGAATAAATAGACTAGGAGGCTTCACTTATAAAATAATTATGTAAATTACTTATACATGAATCAATCAATTTAAAACGATATTTTCTAATGTACTTTTTGTCTTTTCCTATTTTGCATAATTCGCTTGTCAAATTTGTTGCATTTAACCTATTGTTCTCAAAATTGAGTTTTATATTCCTTTTCTTCGGCTTAATTGTTGTTGCATACCTACAGACAATAATGGGTATGGCCCCATTCACATAAATACCGTAGTAAATACTGTATGTTGACCTACAGTTGGAGATTCATTGTGGAATACACTTGACTTACTTCTTGACTTGACTTCTTCTACGCGCCGCTGGCAAATCTTATATGTGTTGTTCGTATCCTAAGTATTATCGTTCATTACCAACCTTCATGTGATTATTCTATTCAGTAACCTTCCCTCGATTACAACATTAATAACATAAAAACCTGGCATCATACAGGCATTAGATTCTAAGAAATTAATAAAAATATTCAAAATTCATGGGTGTATGAATAATTTCGTCGTTGACTGTTTGTGTATGTATGGATATTGAAACTTTAAATGTTTTTTTTTAATTTTAGTTTAAGTGATCTAATTAATTATATTAATATTACTTTGATTTCAACTCTTGAGATAACCTTAAGAGAACTTTTAAAATTTAATAATTCCCTTATCTTGGAAGGGGTCTGAGGCCTTATTCGGTAATCTTCCTAGAGATTGTATCTGGATAAAAAGCGCCTACCCGTCTGTGCTATAAACACGTTAGAAGTAATAGAAAGGGTCACTTATCGTCCAGTCAGTACTCCTTTCATGTTTATTGAACAGGAGTAGAGGTTTATCCCTTCTTTCTTGTCTAGGATATGGTTTACCGGTTTCCTTCTTCCATAGCAATAATGATTTAACAGTTTTAAGTTCTTGGTGATCTAACTGATCAGTGGCATCGATTTTTCGTTACGAGGGTACCGGGTTAGCAGTTTTCTGGCTGCTGCTTTCGACTGGCATTAAGAAGCCCGAGTGCTTAGTGAGGCTGCCCTGATCGTGGTAATATTGAGGTATTTGTATTCCCGGTGAGCAAACCTAAGGTCAAATTATGCTTCAGTCTTAGGCACCTTCTGGCCAGTTTGAATTGCCCTAGACGATGGATAGTGATAATTATGTTGGCCTTTTCCTTCTTAAAACAAATCATTTTATGACAAATACAATGAAAAGAAATCCATGCAAACAAAAAAAAAACATCTAATCTCCTTAATCTTTCTTACTCCAATGTTTGTGGCATTCGTTCTAATTTCTGGATCGTTGGATTGTTTTACTCGAAACGGTCTCTAGATGTCTTTGCACTTTTTGAAACTAATTTAAATGCTTCTATTGCTACCAATGAATTCTCTGTTCCAGGTTATCTTCCTCTTTGCCGAAAAGATTTTAGCATACATATGCATGGCCTCGTTGTTTATATTCGGGAAAATCTCCCAATTGCAAGGGAATCTCTTGAGTAGCCAGTTTATCATTTCATGTGCTTTCGGCTTTTGTTATTGCACTCTGTTAGCTATCTCTTATTCCTTTATCACTATCATTCTTCTCAGAACTGTGATATAATACACAGATTTTTTGATAATATAGAAACATCTCTCTCTTTATCTCTTTCTTTCTCTCTCGCTTTCTTTCTTTTGCTCTCTTTCTTTATTTCTCTTTTTTCTTTCTCTTTCTCTTCCTGTCTTTCTTTCTTTCTTTCTTTCTCTCTCTCTCTCTTTGTTTCTCTTTCTTTCTTTCTGTCTTTCTTTCTTTCTCTCTATTTCTTTCTTTCTTTTTCTCTCTTTGTATCTCTTTTTCTTTCTTTTCTTTCTTTCTTTCTTTCTTTCTCTCTCTCTCCTTCTTTCTTTCTCTTTCTCTCTTTATTTATCTCTCTCTTTCTTTCTTTCGATCCCTTTTTTATTTCTCTTTTTCTTTCTTTCTCTCTCTCTCTTTCTTTCTTTTTTTCTTTCTCTCTTTCTTTCTTTGTTTCTTTCTCTCTTCCTGTCTTTCTTTCTTTCTCTTTCTTTCTTTCTTTTTCTTTCTTTCTCTCTCTCTTTGTATCTCTCTCTTTCTTTTTTTTTCTTTTTTTTTTTCTTTCTTTTTTCTTTCTTTCTTTCTCTTTCTCTCTCTCTTTCTTTCTTTCTTTCTTTCTTTCTTTCTTTCTTTATCTCCTTCTTCTTTCTTTCTTTCTTTCTTTCTTTCTTTCTTTCTTTCCCTCCATCCATCTGCGAATATTTTTGTATGTGATGATTTTCATGCTCATCAGGTCAAGTGTCATAAGCATTCTTATGTTACTGATGTTGTTGGTGTTCAGATTTTCAAGTTTTCCATTGTTCACTCTCTCGTCGGGTGACAACATTTCTGACCTCCTACAGGTCTAAGTTAAAGTCACACGTCATGGATTAGAAGTTACAGGTTCATCTCATCAACCAAATTAGCATTTGCAGATCGAACTCCACAGAGGCGCTCGACGCCCGGTTTTCATGCCGAACAAAACTGTTTATTAATATATCTGTAAACTTAAAATGATCAGAAAATAATTGAAGAGACAATCTTTGCAGGTAAAGAAATATTACCATCTATCTAGGGGTCAAATCGAAGGTCAAATTAAAGGTCACCAATTCTGGCTTTATTTATATTCAGATATATAATTAGTTTTTATTGATGCGACACCACAAAATCGTTTCCTTTATTGAATTTTATTACAGATTCTTCTCCAGTATTGAATTCATGCACACGTTTTATTTCTTTTCTTTTTTCAGAATAATTGTCCAAGTTATATAAAACTTAATTCAAGCCAAGCCTTCCATTTGAAACGTTTCTAAACAGCCAGTCATCGTCTTCTTCTTCTTATCTCCTTCTTCTTCTTCTTTTCCCCTCCTCCTCCTCCTCCTCCTCCTTCTCCTCCTTCTTCTTCTTCTTCTTCTCTTTATCCTTCTCCTTCTTATCTTTCTTCTTCTTCTTCTTGTGATGTGTCCCTTCACAAGTCTCTTTTTATGTCTTTTGTAGCTCTTAATAAATGTTATCATTTTGCTATCTATCCTAAACTGTTTGCCAGGGAGTTTATGTGTTTTAACATTTTTTTCTTTATTCCGGATAATTTTCCATGTTATATAAAACTTAATTCAAGCCAAGCCTTCCATTTGAAACGTTTCTAAATAGTCGGTCGTTTTCTTCTTCTTTTCCAAACTCTCTTCCCTCATTATGGACCCTAGAAATTTCAACTCTCTTCCTAATGTTAACTATCATTGTCATTGTCCTTCCTGTCCCCATTTTCACTAGAGCTTCGTCATTGTTCAAGTCTCTTCTTCATCTGTGAAATGAGATTGTCTAGCATTCACTGCCATGCTAGAGGACATATATTGCATAACTTTTCAATACACTTTTTTTGTCTCTAAAGAAATTTTCCTGTTTCTTAATACATTACTTAACTCGTGGAAAACATTTTTCGTTATCACAATGCTCTTTCGAATCTCAGTAACACTCTACAATTTCCTGTCCTTTCTCACTCTTAATAAATATTATCTTTTTGTTATCTCTCCTAAATCTTGTCGCACCATCCATTGACCCAAACTCACTCCAGAGGTCATGCGTTTTATATTCTTTGTCTCTCTAATCTTCAATCTGTCCTGTGAGTATCACATTTTCCAAGCCCTCTTTCCTCATTCTGTAGTACCATATTTCTGTTGCTTTGTTTCTTTTTCATCTGTGAAATGAGATTGTCCTGCATTCACTGCCATATAGGAGGACTTATATTACATAGCAGTTCAGAAATTTTTTCTTTGTTTCTAATGAAATTTTCCTGTGTCTTAATACATTACTTAACTTGTGAAAAACATCTTCCCAATGCCACTTCGGATTTTAGTGTCCCAATTTCTGTCCTCTGATTAAAATACATCGCTGATATTTAAATTATTGTACTTGTTTGATTTTGGCATCTTCAATTTGTAATTTGCATGTTGGGCTGCCTCTTTTGCTGATAACCATACATTCTGGCTTCTTACAATTAATATTTACTCCTTTCTTCTCACTTTCCTTCCTTACATTCTGTAGAAATTCTTGTAGTTTCCTTTCTTTGTCTGCTATCGGCATTGTGTGATCTACATACATATGGTTAAGATTGCGGCCGCCAATAATGCATCCTGTTAGGACTTGTAATATCACTGAATGGGTTAAATAAGTCCGGCGAGAAGTCGTATCCTTGCCTTAGGCTCCTTTCTATTTTTGTATATTTACTGAATCCATGTTCTATCCTTATGCAGGCGGTTTGCTACCGGTATAGTTTCTAGATTAATTTAACATTCTTCCCAAATATGTCTCAGTTGTCTAAAAGTTCCATCAGTACTTTATTAGGAATAATGTCTTTTCGTATCAAGTTCATAAGAACAAAATAAAATAAAACAAAATATTTTAAAATAAAACTTTGCAAATGGCACTATAATTCAATAAATAACATTTTCTTTGTTTATCTGACGCGACAAATGCTAAATATATGTCTATCATTTTTTTTACTAATTTGATGCCAGAGTATTATAGATTTCAATCTATTAGCCTGCAATTCGCTAAATAACTTTCTATTCGACTTTATGTCGCATAACTCTACTCATTCTTTTTGTCAACTTACATGACAACAGAACATACTTTTAACATGTTATCGTCTAATTCACCAAAAAATTTCGTTCGTCTGTCTGACATGGCACAAGTAGAAATCTACAGACACAACAGCTTAATATTTGAGTCTCTTGATGTGATCTATTGGTGTTATCTATTGATGTGATTCCAGAGCATGATGTAGCCCAGCGGTCGACAACCTTTTGAACTTCATGGACCACTAAATGTATAATTTTAAATTTGGCGGACCGCTAACATGATTTTTTTTTAAAAGAAGCTAAATAAATTAATATATTAATAATAGTCAGAAAACTAATTAACTTATTAATATGAAATGCACCCATTAAGGTTATAGTGTAATTATTTAAATTAAACAAATTGAAAATTTTAAGTTTATTAAAGTCCAGTAAAAAGTTGTTTTTTTAAATAATTTTCCAAAATAGTTTTCGAGTATGAATTTGTATCTGGTGCGTAAGCCGATTCTTGAAGATTCCGCTATTAATCCGCTTCTATGCCATGTTTGTAGAAAATTATACTAGTAAACTATCCAGTAACTAGTTATTAACAGAAAGAAACTATTCAGTAAGAAGTATTGAACATGACTTTAAAAGTCATGTTAAATCATACTCTGGCTGCATGATGTCACATTTGAGTCCTTGTGTACTTGTTTTGAATTTAAGACTTGAACATATACACCATCCATAATACGTTTTGTTACACGTCATTTTTTAATGTGTAGCTTCATGAAAATTGAAATAATGTCCCAATATTTCTGCATATCATCAAATATTTCGAACGGGCCACCAGTGGTCCGTGACCATTGGTGGTCCACGGTTTAGCCTATTAACCTATAATTTAGCCGATCACTGGTTTAGCCTATTAATCTATAATTTAGCCGATCACTGGTTTAGCCTATTAATCTATAATTTAGCCGACTACTGATTCAGCCTATTAACCTATAATTTAGCCTACAACTGATTGAACCTATTAACCTATAATTTAGCCGACAACTGGTTTAGCCTATTAATCTATAATTTAGCTGATCGAATAATGAGGTATTATGTACACTATTTACATTATTCGGACTATTGTCCTCACCTTGTCGCCATATTTATTACAACATTTCGGCTTTTCAGTATCTGTCTATATTTCTGAGATGAGGTATTATGTACACTATTTACATTATTCAGATTATTGTCCTCATCTTTGTCGCCATATTTATTACAACGTTTCGGCCTTTCAGTATCTGTCTATATCTCTGAGATGAGGTATTATGTACACTATTTACATTATTCGGACTATTGTCCTCACCTTGTCGCCATATTTATTACAACATTTCAGCCTTTAAGTATCTGTCTATATTTCTGAGATGAGGTATTATGTACACTATTTACATTATTCGGACTATTGTCCTCATCTTTGTTGCCATATTTATTACAACGTTTCGGCCTTTAAGTATCTGTCTATATCTCTGAGATGAGGTATTATGTGCACTATTTACATTATTCAGACTATTGTCCTCATCTTTGTTGCCATATTTATTACAACGTTTCCTTTCAGTATCTGTCTATATTTCTGAGATGAGGTATTATGTACACTATTTACATTATTCGGACTATTGTCCTCATATTTGTCGCCATATTTATTACAACATTTCGGCCTTTAAGTATCTGTCTATATTTCTGAGATGAGGTATTATGTACACTATTTAGATTATTCGGACTATTGTCCTCATCTTTGTAGCCATATTTATTACAAGGTTTCGGCCTTTCAGTATCTGTCTATATTTCTGAGATGAGGTATTATGTACACTATTTACATTATTCGGACTATTGTCCTCATATTTGTCGCCATATTTATTACAACATTTCGGCCTTTAAGTATCTGTCTATATTTCTGAGATGAGGTATTATGTACACTATTTAGATTATTCGAACTATTGTCATCATCTTTGTTGCCATATTTATTACAACGTTTCGGCTTTTCAGTATCTGTCTACATTTCTGAGATGAGGTATTATGTACACTATTTACATTATTCAGACTATTGTCCTGATCTTTGTCGCCATATTTATTACAACGTTCCAGCCTTTCAGTATCTGTCTATATTTCTGAGATGAGGTATTATGTACACTATTTCCATTATTCAGACTATTGTCCTCATCTTTGTCGCCATATTTATTACAGCGTTTCGGCCTTTCAGTATCTGAGCAGTGACAGTATCATACTTGAACTCAATCTTCTGGCCATGTGAGTTAGCTCTACTATTCATATATGCAAGTTAATGGTGTATAAGCGAGGTCTATTGTAATATCCTGGGGGTTATTGTGTGGTCGGTAACTGTTATATTTCAAATTATTCTTGAGACTGTTGAGTAGAAATAATTATGGACCCAAATGCAGTTATTGCATAGTGTTGGCTTGTTAAATTTTACTCATGATTTATTATTTGTCTGTATTTCTGATATGAGGTATTATGTACACTATTTAGATTATTCGTACTATTGTCCTCATCTTTGTTGCCATATTCATCACAATGTTTCGACCGTTGTACGCTTCGCTCTTCTTCAGGGGGTTGGAATGTCGAACTGAACCCTTTATTTCGCTAGCTGGGGTAGACTCTTCTAGTTCCACGTGCCATGTCTAATGGATATCAGTTATCAGTTATCTCCTGTTAATTCCCCTCTCCAAGTTCTCCAACGCCTTAACCAGGTATTGAACTCACACTCTTCGGGTCCTATCATTGGATCTAACTAACTACTTTATCCACTATGTCATGCGTCCTTGATGATATTTAAGAATATCGTTTCGTGTTTAAATTTGTTGTCGAAGCGACCGAAAGGCGGGGTGGTGGTGGAGAATAAGCGTTCGCCTCGTGATATTTATTAACGTTAGGTGCTGTACCCGTGTTTATTACTGCAAGAAAAATCCTTAAAAAATGTTAGATTAAAAAAAAAAACACACTGCTAGTTGAAATCTTTTGTAAAAACCTCTATGGTATTTAAATTAAAAATTCATGATAGTAACGATTCCCCACATAAAATATAATCCAATAAATACCATCATTGCTTCCTTTCAGAACCAAAGTCACCAATCAGGCCCTGCAAAAGGATAAACTGAAATATCGCCCAAAGACGTAGAAAATTATTCATCGCGTGCTATTAATATCAGCGCATTATACAGTGGTTGTTATTTTTGTCTCAGTTAATCACGGATTGGAGGTCCTTTTTGAGACTACGGCCAGGTCAATGCCGGATTTACTACTGAGACAGGAGTAAATGGTAGTAATATTTTTAGGAGATAACAATGATTAACTTATAGACAAGTCAATTAATTAACCCATAGCTGGGGAGAGAAG